TCCCAAACAAACTAAAGAAAATTCCCACAACACTTAACAGGTACACACAGACCATGCTCAAAGCATGGAAAACACAAATAGGCAAACTATCCCCAACCCCATCCCCACTAATCCCCCTGGCGTACCACCCATTATTCCACCATGCAGCACAAAACCTCCAGATAAAAACCTGGCGAGCCAAAGGCTTATATCGCCTAATAGACTTTTATAAAAATAACAAACCCCTGTCAACGCAAGAAATACAAGACAAACTAGAAGACACCCAAATGCCCTGGTTAACACAACACCAACTACACGCCCTCTTAAACAACCCAACAGTAAAATCAGCAGCAACTAGGCCCCTGACAACCTTCGAAAACCTCCTCCTAACAACAAAGGGAAACGGTAAAGGGACAGTATCCGCAATATACAAAATACTACTCCAAAATCCCGCAAATCCCCTAGACGCAATCAAAAAACAATGGGAGAATGACATAGGCTATGAGATTAACCCCACTCAATGGACCAGAATGTGGTCTAAACCCCCCTTTAAATCCATATCAACGAAAAGAAAAGAACTCACACTGAAACTCACCTACAGGTGGTACCTAACACCAAGGAAACTAGCGCTAATACACCCAGGAACCTCACCAAAATGCTGGAGAGGGTGCACCTCCACAGGCACATACCTCCACATGTGGTGGGAGTGTCCCAAAATCCAACTATTCTGGACGACAGCCATACAAGAAATATGTACAATAACTAAGCAAGTAATAGACATAACCCCAGAATTGGCCCTACTAAACATCTTCCAAGACAACAATGCCCATTTACACCACAAAGAACTCATAACCCACCTGCTTTCAGCAGCCAGAAATACCATAACCAGACACTGGAGAGACCTGTCAGGAGTAAGCATGGACCAATGGTACCAAATAGTATGGGAAACAGCCCTACTAGAAAAATTAACTAATAAACTGAAACTGACACGGGGACAAACAGAAGAAGACACCTTCACCCCGGTATGGCTCCCCTTTATCACACACACAGCCCAACAGGACAATGACAATAATCCACCGAACAGCATACAAATCAATATGGCTAACCTGATCCAAAACACCCACCCACCTCACTCACACACGAAAACAAAGATCACCACAGCCAATCACAAGCAAACAATCACACCCTAGGCCAACCCCAACCTCTCTCACCACCAAAGGAACACAAGTGAACAACACAAACAACGCTGACACCAAACTCTACATACATTAAACATAATAGAAACACCGCCACCCGACCCCACCCCCATCCATCTTCCCTCTCTCCACCCCCCTTTTCTTCCTCTTTCTTTTTTCTTCTCCCCCTAATGCCTCAACAAATGAAATGGATTTGTAAAAATGTTACATGGAAAAAACAAACAAAAAACGAGGCACTACACTTCTGTAAAACAAGAAAATCCTTAATAAAATATTTAAAAAAAAACAAACAAAAAAAAAAACTTGAAGTTCTGACTAGGTCCTGGAATCTGCTCCTGCTTGCCCAATTAGGATTTCCCAAACCTTTATAAGTTACCCACTGCACAATTTCAGCCTCTGAGATGCAAAAGCCCCTTCAGAGGGTATTTCCATAACTGCTAGCCATTGAACATGTTTAGCTGAACTAAATTTGATCCTTTTCTAGCAAACCATATAAAAGAATTTGGAAATGGAGGATCAGGTGTCACATCCTACCTTTCTAAAACAATATGTGATGAATTTATCCAAATGATGGCCTTTAAAGTAAGAGGATCAATTTTAGAGGATTTAAAAACTGAAGGGTACTTCAGTTTATCCGTCCTGTCCCATGTTGATCAGCTCACTGTTATTGTAAGGTATGTCTCACCAGATGATGGGCTCCCTATGGAACATTTTCTAACCTTCCTAGAGATGGGTAGCCTGTTAGGATTCTTGCTCCATGTTTGCAATCGTGGGATTGTTGTCTATCACATGACGGTGTATGTTTTCATTCCACGGTGTGGGAAGTGACGGAGACAGGATGTTTTGTACTACAGTACTGTGTTCCATGATGATCTTGGTTTAGTGATTGTAACATTGTGACTGGTCTGTATCATTTAGTTGCATGTTCCTTTCTGGGGCTCTAAATGGGGTCTTATTCTGAGTGTGACTTTTGGATGTGAATACAGTGGTACCTCGGGTTAAGTACTTAATTCGTTCCGGAGGTCCGTGCTTAACCTGAAACAGTTCTTAACCTGAAGCACCACTTTAGCTAATGGGGCCTCCCGCCGCCGCTGCACGATTTCAGTTCTCATCCTGAAGCAAAGTTCTTAACCCAAGGTATTATTTCTGGGTTAGCAGAGTCTGTAACCTGAAGCGTATGTAACCCAAGTTACTACTGTATATGAACTTCTCGGACTCCTTATTAGTTCCTTTTCACCTAACATAGGAATTAATTGGGATTTCAGAAAGTTAAACAAATAGTATAAAGAAGGCCATGAGCATTACTTCAAAAATGGGGAAGAGCTGCGACTCAGGGAGACAGAGTTTGCTTGGCATGGAAAAGCTTCCAGGTTCAATCCCTTGCATCTCCCATTTCAGACTGGGAAAGGTGCCGGTCTGAAATCCAGGAGAGCCACAGCCACTCAGTGTAGACACTGCAGAGCAAGATGATACACACACACACACACACACACACACGCGCGCCAGTGCATGGCATCTCCAAGTTTCACTTTCTGTTCCCACAGTTCAGGGAGGCTGGAGCTGAGAGATGTTGTGTTGCTGTTTGAGAGGCCTGCTCCTTCCTGATTTGTTATCTGGCTGCCTCAAGAAACCAGCTGTTGTTGTTGTTAATTCAAGAAAGTTCCCTATCGAGGCTTCCTGCCCCAGGAGGGGACAAACAAACTGCCCACCCCCTGCTCTGGTCCCCATGATAAAGGCAGGGAGGCAGAGACACATTATCTCCGCATTCCAGATCCTCATAGCAGTAGAAATGTTGGCCCTCCAAGAAAGCTGAATGTTGGGAGATCTAGGACAGATAAAAGCATTTCGTTGTGCAGCACATAATTGAACTATGGAACTCACTGCCACTGGAGGCAGAGATATAAACCAACTTAAAATCATGGAATTGCAGAGTTGGAAGGGACCACAAGGGTCACCTAGTCCAGATCTTTGCAATGCAGGAATCTTTTGCCCAACATGGTGCTCAAGCCGGTGACCCTTAGATTAAGATGATCGTGCTCCACCCACCGAGCTGGGGAGAAGACAAGGGGACAAATTCATGGAGCACTAGGTTGTGACTGGTTCTTAAGCACAATGGCTCTGCTCTGCCTCGACAGTTCAGGGGCAGCAGGCTTCTAAATCTCAGACGCTAGAAACTGCCGGGGGGAGGGAGAGGGAAAGGCTGGTTTTCCTCTCTGGTCCTCCTTGCAGGTTTTCCACAGGCGTCTGGGTGGCCCCTCTTGGGCGCTGGACCAAATGGGACACTTTTGTGTCCTTCCTTCCACGGGGTGAGTGGAGGCTCACAGGGAACTTATGACGACACACAAAGGAGACCAACATCATGTAGGGGATGGAGGAAGGGGAGACAGCGCTCAGGCAGATGGGGGAGGAGGTGTATTTATTCTGACATCTGCCACCACCCGTGGGAAACGCAGGGAAAGGAGATCAGGCTGCACTGGTCAGTAGTCAGCAGCCCTGATAGTGGAGCCAGAGAGAGTCCTGCCTGATCTTTGAGAGGGGTCAATTCCATAGGCATTTGTTTTTCTAGCTCTTAGTATCCCAGGAGAGAAATCAGATGCAGCTGGTGCTGAAAAGTCGCTCCTTGGGGGAGCATTGTGTATTTGGGGGGGGGGCTGAGGAACACAGGGATGGTGTCCTGAGAAATGTATAGGGCAGTACAGCCCATGGGGCCCCCTCTGGAAGCTGCCGGACTGCAACTCCCATCCTCTCTGACCCCTGGCCATACTGATGGGTCAGAGGGGAGTTGGAGTCCAGCACTATCAAGAGGACACCCCATTTGATGCCCCGATATACAGAATCCAGCTTGTAAATAAGGAACATTAATGCATCCACTCGAAACACATTTAACAGGAGGAAATGAGAATGCAGTTTCACCAATCAATGAAAAACAAGCCAAAATAGGTGACATAAAAGGAAAGGGGAATGGGAAGGGAGGAGGAAAGGAACAAGCTCAGGTACTGTAGCAAGGATATAAGGAATACCTGTTGCCCACTCAAAATATGCTCAAGAATCGACAGACACGGCAGTGGAGAAAAAGAAAGTAAAAATTTATTGCTGAGCAATAAAGAGCCAGTGGAATGTTTTCCAGAGCCTGGGCCCAGAGCCCTGGGGGCTTTGGGTTTATATACCTTGTTCCAAACAGCATTAAACATTGCAGCAAAATCAAACCAATGAACAGGGACGAAGCCCTTCCTATGTCCAAGTAAAAAAGGAATGTTAATGCATCTACACGAAACACATAGAACTGGGCCGAAGCCCCACTCAATGCAAGGAGGTTTATTTCTGTCAAAATGTGGAGATGGAGAGGCTGTATTTGCAGAGGGCATTTGAAGCTGACACCTTGTTCAATTTCTTTTTCATTTTCTTCCCATCTAAGGTCTCCAGAGCAAGGAGCTATCCTGCCTGACGTGGGTGAAGGGGTTCATTTTTCAGTCATCTATTAATCCAATGATGCATGAATTTTAACAGCCGCATGAGGTCTTGTGGGGAGAGGAAGGTTTCCTAGAATTGCAGAGTTGAGTGTCCTCTGGTCCCACCTGCTGCAGTGCAGGAAACTTTTGCCCCTCGTGGGACTCAAACCCACATCCCTGGAGTTAAGAGTCTCATGCTCTGCCAAATCAGACATCTCAAAAGGAAAACAAGATTGAAGGTAAGGGAGCCCATTTGAGGATAAGATTATTTATTGGGACGGTTAAAAGTATTACTGTCTCTCTAAGAAGTAAGCTGCAGAGGGAATTCTGGGAAAAGGAAGGAAAATGCAAAGCAAGAGCAACCCATTTTTGTTCTGTTATTTCTGCTGATTTTGACTGGAATGAATCCTCTCAAAGGGCCCTTGGAAAACTGCCCAACCTGCTCTTGGCGGGTAAATGGTTTTTATGTCAGTCAGTCTGGTCTGGAGAGAAACTCCTGCTGGGCCTGAGAGGCAGATTTAGTCTCCTCAGGAGATACTGAGGTGGGTTTTGTTATCCAATAGATGAAAGAAAGGCAGGAGGGTCTCTCCAGAGAACGAGGCTCCTGAGAACGTGTAGAGTTCGGCTCCTGAGTCAGCGTCAGAAAAAGACACACGTCCCCCTTCATAGTCCAGAGTCACCCGGATCCTCCTGGGCTCCTCACTCAGGGACAGAAGAGAGGAAACAGGGGAGATGCAGGCCCAGTACTCCCCTCCCAGATCCCCCCCAGACTTCCACACAGCCCAGATCCCCCACGTAGGACTGAAGTTGAAATAGTCCTTTCTCTCCACAGACTTCCTGGCGACCCCCAAAGCCCAATATTCCCCACTTTCCACATTGATTTCCCAGAAATGTCTGCCTGCTGTGAATCCCTCACGTCCCAACACACAAATATCGTGGCTGAATCTCTCAGGATTATCAGGCAGGGCTTGAGGTTTGTCTCCCAATCTCACGCTTTTCTGATCCTCGGATAGGATGAGTTCAGGATGGGCTGTGTCTGGATCCAGAGTGACATTTGCTGTTGGGGAGAAGATGAGGGAAAGAGAAGATTAGGCAGAGTCAGATGAGAGACAGAGATGGACATCCTGATAAATAAATAAAAAACACCCAAAAAACCGCAGATTCCCTTTCAGATCAAGGGGATTTCTTTGCATCGCATGCTAGACTGAGAGGCCCTCCTTGCAGACTCATCAGAATAAAATATCTTCCTTGATGGTTTTTTAAATAAATTTCCTTTACTTTCTTATATTCAATGTATATTGTTCCTGCCCTCCTCTCATCCCAGGCATTTTCTAAGGGGAAAAACCACCCAGGAAACCTTTTACTCATCTCTTCTGTGTTATCTAAGGGGAAAGAGAGGAAGAACTGGAGGAGGCAGGAGAAGAGAGAAACTGGCTTTCCTCTTGACAATCTCTGGGAATTGGCCTTTGGGGACATCTGGTTGGGGTGGAGGAGGAGGACCCCCCTCTTCTAACAACAACAGCAAAAAATGATTTATATTTGCCTAACTGCTTCATACCATCAGGTCTCAGGGGGTTCCGGAAGTGTCTCCGGACAGCGCTGGCTACCGGCCTCTTAAGCAAGATGAGCACGCAACCCCAGAGTCGGTCACGACTGGCCCGTACAGGCAGGGGTACGTTTACCTTTATTGCCCTTCATCTACAGGTCTCAGGGTGGTTCACAGGATAAAAATACAATCAAAAACCACATACTGTAGAGGTGCCCCCTCACTTTCCCGTGGTTATATTCTGGGCCCTTGTGCCCACAAGTGAAAATCGCGTTAAGTGGGGAGCCTGTTTATTCCTGCTCTCCATCTCTCTCACCCACTTGGTCTCTCCTTGCCTTCCTCCCCACCATCTTGGAAGTCTAGGGCTTGCCGCAAAGGAAGAGGAGGCAGATGGCAGGGCAATTTTACAAAGGACTCCTTATTCCACGCTTCTCTTTTGGGTATAATATATACCGTAAGACTAGTTCCCTGAGGGAAGAGGGGGATAACTCAAAAGGTTACCAGACAGTCATGATAGGCAAGTGTGGGGTTGCCATATTTTGAGGAGCAAATAAGAGGACACATTGGCCAACTTCTACTTTTAACTACAGATTGCTATGACGACTCTCATTTTAAATACACCTACTCTATGTAGGCTATACAAGCTGTGATATATTGCTAGTAAAGTAAAGGGTAAAGGGACCCCTGACCGTTAGGTCTAGTTGCGGATGACTCTGGGGTTGCAGCGCTCATCTCGCTTTACTGGCCGAGGGAGCCGGTGTACAGCTTCCGGGTCATGTGGCCAGCATGACTGAGCCGCTTCTGGCGAAGCAGAGCAGCGCACGGAAACGCCGTTTACCTTCCCGCTGGAGCGGTACCTATTTATCTACTTGCACTTTGACGTGCTTTCTAATTGCTAAGTTGGCAGCAGCTGGGACTGAGCAACGGGAGCTCACCCCGTAGTGGGGATTCAAACTGCCAACCTTCTGATCGGCAAGCCCTAGGCTCTGTGGTTTAGACCACAGCGCCACCCTGTGTCCCATATTGCTAGTAGCAATGTTCTTAACTTTCAACAAAAAAAGAATAATAATAATACCTATCGCCCCCTTGCTTGCCACATGAAAGTATTTGGGCTCATGTTCACATCTTGGTGAACATAAGTGTGCACAGAACAATTTATTAAACTGTTTAACATCTGCATATGGACTCTCCTGAAGGGCAGAGGGATATTAACTCTTGCCCTCCTGGACTCCTTCTCCAAGATCTTGTAGCTGAGCCAGCGTCCTTTTAGTTCAGCCACAAGAGAAGGGTTTTTGCTAGCTTAAGATGATGCTCTGTCGTGATTCTCTGCTGCAGATTAGTTTAGCCGGGTGCCTTAGTCTAACACAATAGAAAACTTTTCATGGGTTACTGTAAACCAAAAAAAAGAAAGAAAGAAAGAAAGAAAATTGGGATATTCTGCCAAATTTTAAAAATGTGCCCAGCAGAAATTTTAATCCTGAAAAAAGAAGATGTATCCGGGGGAACGAGGACATGTGGCAACCAGGCCTGAAAAAGTGACACGGAAAAGCAACCCAACTATCTCTAGGCCAGAAAATAAAACTCTTCCTTGCTCAGTCTGTTCCTTCTGGGGCAGTTTCCTCACCCACCTTCTGCACAGCAGGGCTAGAGTCTAGCTGTGGATGGTTCTCAACATAGAGAAGAGACTCTTGACCCCTCCATGAAACACTAGTCCCCACCCCTCCTGTGAATTGGGGTCTCCATGTGAAATTTATCTCTCTGGAGATTTCTGAATGACTGAACATCTGAGGAAGGCAAAAAGAGAGGCTTAATGGGCTACACTGCAAAAAACTCAAAGAAAATCTTTTTAGCAAAACCATCACCATAACATAGCATCTCTTGTTTCCTTATATCAAGCAAAAGGATGAAATCACAGAACAAAGAACTGCAAAACGACAACTGTAGGCCTAAGGAATTAAAACAACTAACGTGTTTAGCTGTGATTCCTGCATTGCAGGGGGCTGGGCTAGATGATCCTTGGGATCCTCTCAAACTCTCTTATTCCATGATTCCATGAGAATATCAAGAAATGGTAAACCATACTAGGAAATGGCAAAATAAATCATTCAAAATCCACGAATGAAATGGGGCTCTGTATTGGAGGGCTGGAGGAAGTTTAACATCTGCCCCAAGTGAACTGGTGGGAAGAAGATGTTGAAACTGGAATTTCCAAGCATGTTGACAAACCAGATTTGCAGAGGAAGAATCAGCAGAGCTTTGCATTGTACTTCCAAGGGCCTCGTGCAATGGGAAGTCCTCCTCCTGGAATGGGGCTGATCTCATAAGAACTATGGGAACTCTGAGGAGATGGGGATGGCTTAAGCACGAGAAATGGTTGGTGAGGTTGAAACTCTGAGGAAGAGGCGGCTCAGGCCTTGCTCTGCTGGAGGAGGATACTAGTTGTATAGGCAAGAATGGAACTCAGACTGGTGTGTGGGTTCTTCGCACGGACAAGCTCTGCCCCCAATCCAAGCCTTCAACCTCCCTCCCAGTTCATTCATGGGACATGGAAAGAACCCAAACACCAGTAGAGGACTGTTTCCCAGAGTGACGCCATTGATGGGGGTCCCAAAGTCTGCAGAGCAGACGGTTCAACACCCATGAGATATCAGTCCCCATCCCTCCTGTGAAATTGTTCCTCCCCTAGAAATTTACTTTTCTGAAACTGTTTTCTGAATAACACAGCATCTGAGGAAGCAAAAAGATACAAAGCGTAAGGGCAACACTCTTCCACCTGAAATAAATCTCCATATAAAAGTAACACTTCATAACGTAGCATCCTTAAATTGACTCCATTCAGAGCAAGAGAACCTCCAGAAGGACAACCCCAGATTGTGTTGACTGGTAACCAAAAGGAAAAGGAGGCTCCATATCACTGAAAACAGATACACTCTGGTTCAGGCTCTCTTTACAGGATCCAGCGTCACAATATACATGGGCCATTCTGGGGGACAGGAAATGAAGGCTGGAGCACCAAGAAGGAAGGGGTCCTGGGGTTATTCAATTCCATGCAATAAGAGCCTGGCATGTTCAGTTCTGAAGAAGTAACAGAATTCCCAGTGTGAAATCCTGGCCGACCAATTTTAATTACCTTTCCATTGTTTCATTGCATCTTCCGCAAGGTGATTTAGATCACAGGATTCCAAGACCCTGTTCCTCAGTTCTGGAGGGAAAGCCAGTGGCTTCTCTGGACTCTCTCTTTTCTCATACCTGGTGAAAAGAAAAACAATGTCAGCTCATTCAAACTCACAATTTCTGTTACAGGAAAAGAAAGGAGTGGAGAGGAATTCAGCTGGAAGAAGCCTAGAGGAACAGGCAGGCACTGAGTGGGGAGTTTCTTCCTCACTACGCACTCCTCAGCCAGACCCCCAAGGGTCAAAACAGCAACCCTAGGCCTCTGAGTCTTCCCACTGGTGTCTATTCAAAGAAGAAGCAGAATCATATGGTATCAAGGGGCAGGAATTGTCTGAGGGTGGTGAGAGCACAGCACACATTTCCTTTCTCTAGATGTCCCCAGAGAAGGGGTGAGGAAGAAAAAGAGATGCACTTCTGTTGGGAAACAAGAAATGTTCCTTAAAACCTCTACTCTGAACCTGAGAGACACCTTGAATTGAAATACTGCAGCCGGAATATGGTCAGAAAATAGCCAATTCCTGCTCCTTGGTGAGAAATTGCCCCCTCCCAAGGGGCTCTATGGGGCAGGAGTTTGCTTGGGACAGCGTGGGGTGGCCGGCAGAGTGACTATACTGGTCAGTCTAGAAGGAACCAACTAAGGCAGGCACGTCCAACTCCCAAGAGACTGCGATCTACTCACAGTATAAAAAGACCGACTGTGATCTACCCATTGTCATTGCCAGGAGTTGCTGAGCTTTTTAGGGGGGAGGGTTGGCCAAAGTTGTTTGACCTTTTGGGGGGGTTCTAAAAGGAATACTAAAAGGATCGCGATCGACCTGTTGGACATGCCTGAACTAAGGCAATAGTTGCTCCCTGGAATATAACTTTGCCTTGTTGTGTGTGCCAGTAAAACAGCCTTCTCTTAGTGACACTTGAGTAAATTCAGAATATTTGTTTCTGGAGTTTGGGGATCTCTTGCTTTGATATATTAGATAACCTCTGCTCTAGAATCAGATGTTTGCAGACGTTGAGACAGATCTTCCACAGGTGCACAACCAAATCAAATGATTCATCCAAAGGACATTCGGACCAAAACAAAACAAATTATACACATGGCAAAAGTAAAACCAAACCTCACAAAGGAAATGGCATTAATTCATTGGGGAGAATTGGGGGTGCTACAAGTTCCAAAGAGGGGGCCCTGCTTTTACCTGTGAGGTGCTGCAGGGAGTGAGTCCTACAGTCTCCCCCCTGCAGCCCCTGGGGGGCCATGTCTGAGGTTCCTGCATCTCAGCTTCAAAGAGTGATGCTAATGGAAATGAGCCAGATCCACTTACCTCTGCAAGGTCCTTCTCACATCCTAGAGGGAAAAGAGAAGGGAATTCACTG